TGCTGATCCTTATACTAATCTTGAGAACTTTTACGCGTGCTAAGTAGAGAGTTGATGGAAGTCCTTCCTTTGATGTAATGACAATTTATGTATATTTCATTCTGGAAAATATGGCTAGGTGCTCCACATTTATAGCTAGGGTTTCTAATTAATATATATATATATATATATATGTTGTTTGCTAGCTAGGAGGAGCTGAGCTCCTAATTGATATAAGATTTTTGTAAAAATTTTGTATTGTAGAATTTTAAGAGATTTTACTTACAAGGGTTTTTGTTGAAATTTCTACAAAATCTCAAAGCTTTTTATAATGATTAGTATCAATATAGATCTGATTATATTTTAAAAATAGAATTAATTTACGTTTTGGAGCTTACGGGAATGTGTGGCATGGTTCACACCCCGTGCCGATCACCCTCAAATTTTGGGGTGTGACAAGTTGCCCTTGTTTGCACTATATTCTCCCCTCTTAAGGATGGAGGAAATCCTAAAAAGGAAAGAAAGTTAGCTCTAGCTCAATAAAGGGAAAGCAATATGCGTAATATGATATCACCAACTCTATATGCAATGCACAATTATATATCAAACACATTTCACAACCACTATCCATAAATCAGTTCTTAAAACTTTAGAAACTAATACCAAGGTATAAGTTTGCCCTAACTAATCCAACACTTAACCAAAATCTCCTAGATAATTCATGGGATTAACCCAATTACGTTAGCCAACCATGGTTGAGCATTTTCTAAATTCAAATTTTAGTATTTTTTCAATTGGGATCCTAAGGTTTTTAATATGGAAACAAGATAAATAAAGCTTAATCAAATCTATTTTGGCATTAAAAGAGTTTTGGAAGTATGGGATACCATTTATGATTTCAAAATATTGAAAAAGTTGAAAATCCAAAAGGGCCAAAAAATGGATGATGTATTATGGTGTGGCACCCTTGCATCATGGCTTGTCCTCATTATTCAACAGTGCCATGTGCTACAGCATGTTGCACTTATTCTACAGATTAGGGCTAACTTTTGGCTTGCCCTATTTCTTCATCCAACATCCAATTAAGATAATCTAGCTATTTAAAGAAATCTCTTTTCACACTATATCTAATAGCACTAGTCTTATTCTCTAATGATTACTTAATCAAAAGTTGGACACTCATTTGCTAAACTACACATTTCATACATAAAATTCCAACTTTGGTGTCCAAACTTCCAACCAAGTGCCAAAAGTCTATAAATACAACTTGACCATACTTAATGGACATGAGACTACCTATGCAACACACCATAATGAGCATATAACACATATTTCTCAAAGTCATCTCTCAACCTCTTAATTCTCAACAAGATAAGGGGTAGATATTTGACATCAAAAGTCATGAATATCCTTTACAATGATTAAAACCATGCATATTCTACTTGGAATAGTATTTTAGCCCTATTTAAACATCTCAATCATCATATTTAGAACCTAGGGCCCAAAATACACTCACTTATCACTATCAACACTTAGTGCAAGTATAACAAAAGAATGCAATCCTAATTGGCAAGCATCATCATAAATTACATATTAATATAATTAAAATGGGGCTATACTGTAGGAATGTCAATCCCTAAGCCTTGGAAGCTTTCCCTTGGTCAACACCTGAGCTAGAGCTTGTAAAATGTGAAAAGAGAGGGGTAAGTATACCCACTTAGTAACTAGAGTATGACTAACCTAGGTAGTTGCTTATTAATTGATAACTCAACATGTGCAAATACTCATAATTATACAAATTGCACGACTCGCAAGGAAAACATATTTAACCACATGAAAATTCAAGTAATCACATTATCATTTTCCACAATCATCTCACGATGCACATCAACTTGCCAATTGGTGATTGCATGCAATTGAGTAATTATTTATTACTTTTGGTCCTATAGTTAAAACTTGATTTTTTTTCAAATGTTTTTATAGAAATCTCAAGTTACCATCAATTAAAATTATTAATTTTACCTTGAAATCTTAAAGTTAAACATGTAAGCAAGATTGTTAAACTTGCGAGTTTAAATAAAATTCATGAAAGAATGTAAACTTGAATCATAAACTCAGATCATAAATTCAAGAAAATTTATCACTTTTAAGTATATAACTAAATAATTAAAATATAAAATATGATCATAGTTTGATTTAAATATATTCCAAATCTAAATCATTGAACTTAAATCTATCTACATTGATAGATTGTCATGCTCAACATAACAATTTTAAAATAGGACAACTTATTTTTTGTATTTCTTTTTTATTAACATTATTGCTTCTTTTTTAGTTTTATTTTTCTTTGAAATGGTCCTACCAATTCTATGAACCAAGTTCAATACAATATACACTTAATTTGCTTAACTCAATAAAAAATCAATCAGCTTAGCAAGTTTAATAGAATTTGCATCCAATTCAAGTTTATGAGTAAAATAACATAATTTTGTAAGTTAAAATGTAAAAACAATAAATTTGAAGATTCAACTCATAAGTTTAATCAAGCTTGCATCTAGTTTGAATTTATAAGCGAGTTGATATAATTTTATAAATTAAAAACTTAAAAATGGTAAACTTAAAGTGTTAATTTCCGAGTTTGACAAACAATGCATGTCACCCAAATGAATCAATTATATATGAGGGCATTTTTTTGGGGGGAGGGGGGACTCATTAATGCTTCATCAAGTTTTATAAGATGCCTTGCATATTAAAGACTAAGCAAAGCTTCCAAAAGATGTCTTGTATTAAAGACTTGATGGAGTACTTGAAACTTAATAATATAAATTACGTGAATTTTCTTCTCTTTTCACTGTTTTCCAAAATGATGGCATCTATTGATTTAAAATTATAACAACTTTTTCTTTTATAATCTTATTACAACATTTTACGCAGTGATATAATAATATTTTTTTGTAATATAAGTTATAAATATTTTACTAAAACGTTAATAGTAAAGAATAATGTATTCAAACAAAATGTCAACAATTTATATTGATAAATTGAACAGTTCGGCTAGTCAGATCGCCGGACTTTCTTAATGGCAACTGATGCATGCTTCATGTTCATGGAAAAGGGTTTTTTTTTTTTTTTTACCAAAAGATTCAATTTCATAAAAGTCCAACAAAACTACAAGCACGATAAGAAACACGGAGTTCATTCCAAAACATGTAAGTTAAATCATTTTCATATTTGGACTCATTTTATTCAATATAATATAATATAATATAATATCATTTTCTTTAGAAAAAATAACAATTATATCCTGAAAGAAGAAATTAATGACAGTTACATCTTGATAAAATTTTGAGAAAAAATAAATTAAAAAAATCAATTTAAATAATTACAAATTTAGTAGTTCTAATTTTAAAAAAGACATTTAAATTTTAAAGGGTTAAAGATCAATTTTATACTTCAACTATTTGTGCAAAAATGCTTGATATTCTAAACTTTTTTATGATACAATGTCCTTGGGACATTGAAACAATACAATTTTTCCCTTACTATTAAAATCGGTTAAATTTGACCATTAGTTAACGAAGAAAATTACAAAAGGGGTCTCAAAATTAACATTAAAAGACCCTATAACAATTAATTTTGATTGTGTAACTAAAAAAAAGAATAAATCTTAAGAGACTAATGTTATTTCTTACTCATATAAAAGACCAAAATACTGTGTTGACCAACCACTTTGTCCAATTACTGGGTGATTACCATGTTGTCATTACTGACAATATATTGGTAAAATTATTAAATATTAAAGTTTTATTGTTTTAGTAATATTTAATTAAAATAAATATATTATTTTTTAATTAATTACCTATGTTGCCAACAATGATGAACTGATAATCATCTGATACCTAGTCAAAGTGGGTGGTCAAAATGGTTTTTTGGTCTTTTGCATGTCAAGAAATAACATTTGTTTCTTGGTATTTATTTATAATTTATGGGACTTAATTAGTATTAATTTTTTTATATGCTACTTATTTGTAATTTGCGGGTCCATTTTTGTAATTGTTTAAGTCAACCAATAATCAAAGTTAACTTTTATTGATGATATGGATAAAGGACAATTTTCTCTCTCAACTATTCACTTAGAAGTATATGATATTCTAAACTTACATGTGGTACAATTTTTTCGTTTGACATTTAAATTAGTGCACTGGACACCCTACTATTTAAAAAGTTAACTATGACCGTTAATTGATCCAAAAAAATAATCAAAAGGGACTAATAAAATTATAAATAAGTACGTTATAAGAAAATTAATATCAATTAAGTCTCTAAATAGTGTGATAATTTATAATTCCTCTTACAAAATTTTGTATCATGTAATTTAGGAGACTTGATTGGTATTAATTTTTATATAAGGTACTTGTATGTAAATTTTTGGATCTTTTTGTAGTTTTTGAAGTCCTTGTATGACTGTCTAAATTAATATTTACAACTGACTTTTTAAAAAATTTTGTTGAAATCCTAATTACCATTGATTTCAGACTTGACTTCTCTCCTCTCCACCCTCCTTCATATGTTGATCTACTACTCTCCATTGAAGATCAGGACTGTCCAAATTTAGTCAAAATTAAATGTTTTAATTTTAATTTTATATTTATTAAATTGAAAATTATAATTTTTTATTAAATATGATCACTAATCTAATCAGTCTAAACTTAATATGGATGATCCAAATTTAATATTAAAAATTTTAATATTAAATATGTACTGTCTAGAATATATATGGATAGTCAATTTATAAAAATTATGAAAAATTTATTAAATCTAATAACAAATCTGGACCGTGAATTTAATATGGATGGTCAAAATAGTGGAGCGGAGGAATCCAACTCAATCAATTACTTGTTTTAAAACTTTATTGCCCTCAACAAAAAAATAATAATAAAACTTTATTGCCGTTTCTCTCAATACTTTATAAAAGGGGTCCATATCTTTCATCAAACCCACACCATCTAGTTTCCCATCTCTTGAGCCATCAATGGAGATTCAAATCTCATACTCTATCCTCCTCGCAATCTCTTTCTTCTTCATTATAATACTGAAGAGGTTAAGCTCTAACAAATCCATCAAAACGCTACCCCCGGGGCCATTCAAATTGCCTATCGTTGGCAACTTACACCAACTTAGAGGATCGCCACCTCATCACGCCCTGAGAGACCTAGCCAACAAGTACGGACCCATCATTCACCTTCAACTTGGAGAGTTGTCCCACGTTGTCGTGTCTTCCCCAGAAATAGCCCAAGAGATCATGAAGACACATGACATAACCTTTGCTAATCGCCCCGCTCTTCTTGCGACCACCTTAATTTCCAATAATACAGGCATATCCTTTTCTCCATATGGAAGCTATTGGAGGCAACTTCGAAGGATTTGCACTTTGGAGCTTTTGTCTGCCAAGAGGGTCCAAACATTCAGAACAATAAGAGAAGAGGAGCTGTCAGCACTTGTGAGGAACATATCAGAACACGAAGGCTCCATCATCAATCTCACTGAGAAGCTTTACGTGCTCACAAATTTTGTAACTGCACGAGCGGCCTTTGGTGCTAAGACCAAGAACGTTGGACAAATCCTATCAACTATGAAACGTGTTCTGGAGGTGTTGAGTGGTTTCTCAATTGCTGATCTCTACCCTTCAATCAAAATCCTTCAAGTGATCACTGGCATTAAATTTAAGATTGAGAGAGTGAACAGGGAGATTGATATGATGGTAAGGAATATTATCAATGATCACATAGAAAAGAATAATGATCCTGGTCAAGATGGTAAGACGACAGAAGATGATCTGATCGATGTCCTCCTAAGGATTCAAAAGGAAAATGACCTTGAAATACCATTGTCTGAAGAGAACATTAAAGCTATTATCAGTGTGAGTATTTATGTAAATTCATGATCGAATTATTTTGCCATTTATTTACTTATCGGGCCAGGGAACCTCAGATATGCCTTTTTTCTTGATGCCCTTTATAATATCCCAACTTTCCAATTACATTTTTTCTTTTTTCTTGGGATTATTGGCTTCTATATAAAATAAGAAACATTTTGATATCTTGAAATCTCAAAACAGTAGAGTTTTCTATTTTTTTATGATTTTTCAAAAATGAAAGGGTGTAATTGTGATAATTTAATTTTCTTTAAAAAATCACTAAAATAATGCAAAACTCCACCATTTGAGGACTTCATGATATCAAAATGTTTTTTTATTTTATGTAAAAGCCAATGATTCAAAGAAAAAAAAAATAAAGTTCAAAAGTTGGGGTATTATAAAGGGCATTAGAAAAATACACATTAGAAGCTCCTAGCTTGTATTGGGTTCTAATTCAAAACATGCATTGTTATATCTAAATGCGAACTTATATATACGTATTTTCAGGATATTTTCCTTGGTGGAACTGAAACATCAGCAACAACAGTAGAGTGGTCAATATCAGAACTTCTTAGAGACCCCAACAAAATGAAAAAGGCACAAGAAGAGGTAAGAAGGGTTTACGGAAGCAAAGGCTATGTAGATGAATCAGAATTTCATCATTTGAAGTATGTATCTGCAGTCATAAAAGAAGCTCTAAGGCTACACCCACCAGCACCATTGCTACTTCCGAGAGAAAATAGCAAGGGGTGTAACATTAAAGGTTATGAGATACCTCCTAAGACTAAAGTCATCATCAACAGCTGGGCCATTGGAAGAGATCCAAAGTATTGGGATGAGCCAGAGAAATTTGAACCAGAAAGGTTCCTGAATGCCTCAATTGATTACAACTTTAAAGGCACAGAGTTTGAGTACATCCCATTTGGTTCTGGTAGGAGGATATGTCCTGGAGTCTCATTTGCTGTAGTTCTTGTTGAAATCATGCTATCCACTTTGCTTTACCACTTTGATTGGAAACTTCCAAATGGACTAGAGCACGAAAAGTTGGACATGACTGAGAAATATGGTCCCACTAGAAGGAAAAACAATCTTTGCTTGATTCCTATCAGATGTGACCCTTAACTTGTCTGCGTTATTATCTGACTCCATCCCCAAATGCCTCCTTTATTTACAAGCCTCCATTTTGTATTTTGTCATTGTGCAAACTGCACCGTATGCGTCTGATCAAATAAAGTTGAACAATATAATTCAGAAAATAACAGTCATTTTCTTATGTTTTCATACAGTTTTTATTGTCAATATTGTGTTTTTAGTGCATTAGAAGTTTAATGATAAAGCTTTAGATATTTTCAAAAATTATTGTCATCCCCGTCACACAATACCCCCCCCCACACACACGTTTTTTTTTTTTTTTTTTGGTTGCATGAATACAAATCTGTATATTCAAGTCATCATTTTTATTTTAAACACCAGTTACTAACTTACTTACAAGAGCATGGGACTTGAGAGCAATCTATACATTTTGTGAAATTTTTTAATAATTACAATCTTCGTGAGGGACTTTACAGTGATTCTCAAAGGTGTTGGTTTACAAGTAAATAATTCTTCTAAAAAATATCACAGATTAACCAGTAAATACTCATGATTTACAAGTAAAACTTTTTTCATTCATAAGTCAACCTCTTACAATATTAATACTTTAATATTTATGAATTGAAGTTCACAGATATAAAAGTTAAAAATGCAAATTAAGATGTTTAACTCGTAAATCTGTAAAATTTATTGACTTGTAAATTTGCAAAGTTGATTGTAAATGTTAACCTATTAATATTATAAGAGACTGACTTGTAAATGTAAGAAGTTCGAGCAAGATTTACTTGTAAATATGTGGTATTTGACTTGTAAACATTAAAATATAAATAATTGAATAAAAATATTTTTCAAACAGAAATAATACAACACTTGCTGGGTGATTGGTCAATGGCTGTCGGCCACCGATGGTCAGTCAACACTCATCAAAAGAGTGGGAGTCCAAGGGCATTTGTGTCATTTTAAATGATAAAGTAATTACAACCAAGTTTCATAGGACCTGAATGTTTTTTTTTTTCTAAATTAATGGAACTTAATTGTAAATAAATTTTTTATACAAGACTCATTTGTGATTTCCCAAAAATAATACACTTTTTTATGGGGAAAATAATACGCTGTTAATAGCTCATGAAAATGTTTGTTAGAGATTTCTTAATTTTCTCATGATTCATATACATATATAAATCAATTAAAATTAAATGGATATATGACGAATAAAAATTAATTTTCAAATTTTGTCAACATTTTTTTAAGTCTTGGTTGATTCTAATAAACTGAGCAGATTAAAAAAGCATGCATCACAGTTTAATACACCGTTCGCCCAACTGACTCCAATTTTTTGTGTCAAATAAGTTCACCTCTTCATCAAAACTTCTAGAAAATTTACATTGAAGGATCTTCAAAGAATATTAATTACAATTAAGGACCCTAAAATTTATGAAGTTTCATTAAAAGATCATGATCTTTAATTGGGATTAAATTTTTTCATTAATTTTTCTCAATACTCATCTTTTATATTTTCAGTACTCACTTTTCTCGTTTAATAGTCATTTTTAGTATTTTCAGTTCTCACTTTTTATTTTTTTTAATAGCCCAGTCATCTTATGTTTTCAACGCTTATTTTCCATAGTTTGGTTGCTAAAAAGAATTATAGATAAGTGTATTTCGGTACTAAAAAAGTGGAAGATCAGTATTGAAAACATCTAAGATGACAACTAAAAAATGAGAACTGAAAATATAGAAGATGAGCATTGAAAAAAAACAACTCAAAAAAATTTAATTTCAATTAAGGACAATGATCAATTTTTAGAAATTTTTAAATTTCATGATCTTTAAATATAAATAATATTCTGAGAAGATCCTTAAATGTTACTCTCCCAAACTTCTATGGCAACGTAGAGAGACGCCAGAAAACGCTATATGTGTACATGAAAGTCCATCCATTATTCAATCTGACTAATGTTAAAGTTTGAACTTTGAATAATATATTATCACTATATATATAGACTAATGAGTGAATTCATTGTATCATCGTTTCTTGTTTCAATTTTCATTAAAAAGAAGAAGAAGAAGAAGAAATGGATTAGAAGACTTTATGTAACGCTGTCTTCTCTAAGACATTTCTGCGAAATTTGTCGAGTAGACTAATGTTCTCTTTTAAGTGAAATAGAAGACTATTCTATAACTAAAACAGAAATGTAATAAAATGTAATTGCTTTCGAGCTTTCAATTATTAAACAGAAGTCTTTCAATTATAAATGACAATTTATTGACAAAATGTCCCTACACACTTCAATTGAATTATGGCATTTTAAGTGATTAAACTGTCATTTATATAATTTGAGGGATTTTATTTTCATTTTTCCATAATTTACTCAATAAGTATTTATATTTGACAATGTTATATGATTATAAATTCTGGAAAGAAAATTTTAAAGTGGGCAAACTTTTTCCACATATCACTTTCATTAAAATCTGAGTGAAAATACACCAAATATGTGTGGAAGTTTATTGGTCCATCCTCTCTTAATTTCCAAATGTCTTTTTCAATTTAATGGAAAAATTGTCCACCTTAAAATAATAAAAGTTTCTTCATCTCACAATTTTCATCTCAAATAAAATGAAAAAATATATAATTATTTCTTTTCAAATTATATTATTTTAAAATGTCTTATCAAATGGAAATTTTCTTTTCCAATCACTGTATGGTAATATTAATTGGTGAAGACACCACAATTAGAATCATAGAATTTTCTACTCCATCTCAATCTTGCCAAATGTCTTTTCAATTTATCAGCAAATTTTTTCACAATAGAAAAGTAAAATATTCCTTACAATAATGTCTACTTCAAATAAAATTCTATAATGCTACCCATATATTAAATAAAAATTAACTATCATAATATTTTAAAAATATTATATTATAAATCAGTAAACTTTAAAGTTAAAAATTAACGTGCTTAAATGGCAAAGATGAGGCATACACATAAAAATAAATCTGAAATGAGCATATACAAAAAAAAAATGTGGGCATAGTATCTATTGAGGAAAAATGGTGAAAAAATCATTTGAAATAATTTGGACATGTATAAAGAAGATTACAGGAAGCACCAATGAGAGAGTGAAACAGATAATCTTAAACATTGTAAAAGGGGCTAGAAGAAGAAAGAGAACACTTACGAAAGTTGATAAATAATAGAGCATGATAACATCATGTAATTTATATAACCAACCTCACTTAATGAAATAAGACTTATTGGTGGTGTTGTTGATTAGTTATTTGGCTCATTATTTAGTCAAAAATCGATTAGATATGTTTAATTACAAATCCACCTAAACTGAAATAATTGCCAAAAATATTAGGCACTTTACAATATTGAAAAGATTATTGTATTTATGGTATAAGTCAGAAATCATCAGTCAGTTTACAATATAAAATCTATATTAAGTTTTACAAATAATGAAATAAATGTAACCTAATTTAGCTGACTTAGAAGCGGACAATTAATGAAGTCGATAGGGATGAAGAGTTTTCATGAAGACTCAGTTGGACTACAAATAATTGAATTAGTAATTTATAGTTGGAAATAATTAAGAAAAACTAATTTATACTATATGTATATATTTGCCTACAGAAAGGATGACTCGGACTTGAAGAGAAAATCCAAAATAAAAACAATCAATGTTATAAAAATAATCAGTAAAATTGAATTAATATACAAGTCGCACGCTAAAATCAATTAACATAGAAATGAAAAAAAGTTTTAGTGACCGAATAGGTGCATGAAGAGATCACGAAAAATGAAATAAATGCATCAAAAATATGCTAAAAACTTGTTAAAGTCAGTGAAATCTTAAATATGAATAAATACTAGCAAAAACATTTATGTACGGAATAAAAACTATGTAATGGTATGTTAACTGACGATGAAGGAAACTAGAAGTGAGATAATATTTGGAATACTCACTCACAGACAAACGAAAAAGGAGGGGGGAAAACATAGTTGTTGAAAGTTATGTGTCATTTGAGAAATAGAAAAGAAGACTTACAAAAAGTGAAGACTTTAAATAGACAGAAGAGACGGGGAATTATCGTGGTAGTGAAAAAAATTATTTTATTCAAAGTAAACATTACAATGAGGAATTTTTGACTTTTGTTATGTGGAAAAAATTGGCAATAATCTAAAAAAGACATTTGGAGGGATAGAGGAAGATAATTGCAGCACAAGCTAACAAGCTAATTGCAACCACCTTAGTATTTTAACGAAAGGACCACATATGTCTATAACTCTTATTGTGTCTTGATCAATGACTCTATCATACAGTGATTGAAGAAGAAACTTATCCATTCAAAAAGTCCTATATATTTTGAAAATTATTTTGGTTTTGAAGCTATATATTTTATGAGAATTTAAATAATTTCTATGAAGAAAGTCTTATAAATTCCAACATTGCCATATAGAGAAACTCTTTGAATCCAACAAAGACGTTAGGGAAGACTGAGGGGTCCCAAAGGGGTTTTTTTCAAGATACAAATTCAAATTCAATATTTGGTGCTTAGGTGACTATAATCCCTTCTATTAATATCAACCTCCGTTAATAAAATTTATATTAAAGTTAAGGTTGTCAAAACACATTGAAGGTTTTTGTAATTTTAGTAAAATTGAAGGAACCCCCGAATGTGTTTTACTAAAAAATTGACATTGACGATCACACATTAGTTGATAACAAATAGAAAAGAAGACTTACAAAAAGGTGAAGACTTTAATTTAAAATGGACACAAGAGATGATAAATTCGCATTACGATAAGGAATCTTTTACTTTTCTTATGTGGAAAACATTGTTGATAAATTGATCAATTAGTACAGTGATTGATGCAGAAAAAAATACCATGATTTTTCTTGTCATGTCTTGATCAATTAGTACTATATTATACAGTGATTGTAGAAGAAAATTTTCATTTAATTAACTGTGATAGAAATTGTCTTATATATTTTGGTTTTATCTCAGATATTATATTTGAAAAAAAAAAGAAAAAATCAAGTAAGAGATTATATATGTAAAAAAATTTTTCTCATAATATTAAAAATACTATTCATTTAAATTATTTTTACTATTATTTTAAAATATTTTAGCTGAAAAGAATGTGTGTGTGTGTGTGTGTTTTATCATTTTATTTGAGATGAATATATATTGTGAGACGAGGAAACTTTTACTTTTCTAACTTGGATAGGTTTTTCACTTAATCAAGAGTCAAAATGTTCTAC